TGTCAAAGATGTGATTGGTGGAGTCGGTGTGTGGGCAGAGTTTGTCAAAGATGTGATTTGTGGAGTTGGTGTGTGGGCGGAGTTTGTCAAAGATGTGATTGGTGGAGTCGGTGTGTGGGCAGAGTTTGTCAAAGATGTGATTTGTGGAGTTGGTGTGTGAGCAGAGTTTGTCAAAGGTGATTTGTGGAATTGGTGTGTGAGCATTGTGTCCTAACAGTGATTGATGAAGTTTGGGTAATAGGAGGATGTGTGTGGGTGGAGCTCGGCAAAACTGTGATTGGTTGGATTGATTTGTCTTGGGGCAATTTAAGAGGAAGTAATGCTAATCAGTAAAACTACTGTGAACATGTAAACATAATTTATTTGCTTCAAATTTTGTGCAGCTAGCACCTTTCTGTCTTGAGTTAAATAATGCTTCCTGGCCATCTCGACCAAGCTACATCCTGTTGCCCCAGCTTCTACAACCCCCACCCAAAACATTCCAACTAATCACGCCTTAAACAAACTATGCCATTAAAAGATTGACTGTGTTTCTGTCTGTTAGCAAAATATCTCATGAACCACTAGGTGTAAGTTATTGAATCTCTAATAAATCAATCACTGAATGAACAACTACTACTGATTAAAGATAGGCGCCACCTCAATTCAAGATGGCTGTCACAGCCAACTTGAAAAAGCCATAACTCTGTCAATTCTGAAAAAAAAAACTTGCTAAAATTTGTTGTGAGAGTCATCCTAAACACATATTCAGGATACTCGTTGCGCAATCCTTTGATGTCAGTAGAAAACAGTTTCAGTGTCTCTAATGACTTAGACCTGTTGGCTGGTGTGTAATGCAGGACTGAGCTGTTAGCTAGGACCTGTTCAGAAGTGTTTTAGCTGCAGAACTTGATCCAAGTCTGACTTGAGTCCTGATCGTCGCAGGTCTGAAGCTGTAACGTCCTCAGATGAGCTGAACCACGACCCGGCCTCGCAACGTCAGAACCCCCCCGAGGAAAACAGCCCAATCGCACCGGAGAATCCACACGCAGACTCTGGGGAGACCGGAAGAACCCGTGCGGTTCCGATCCACCACCGTCCAGACCTGTTGGTCCCCTGCGCGGACCTGGTTAACTCCGAGTGGCCGAGGAGCCAGGCAGCCCGGGTCCACTCCCTCCAGAAGTCCTGCTCGGAGTTCCCTGTCTGCTTGGTCCTCCTGCAGGGACAGGGCGGGGAGGAGCGGCTCCTGGGCCACGTGCGGCTGACCCGGGTCGTGGGGCTCGACGGCGGCCTGTTCGTTGAGTCGGTGGTGGTGTCCAGGGAGCGGCGGGGGATGGGCTTCGGCCGCGTCCTAATGGAGGAGACGGAGCGCTACGCCAAGCGCCGGGGGTTCAGTCGCCTGTGCCTCACCACCCACGACAAGCAGCACTTCTACGCCCATCTGGGCTATGTGCTGTCGGCGCCGGTGCAGAGCCAGGGCGCCGTGATGGCCCTTGTTCCCATGGCGATGCTCATGAGGCTCTCCAGAGCCTCAAGTGTGGAGACGAACGCCACACACCCGCCAGCAAAGATGGATGTTCAGGTTTCACAAGAGAACAGAGACTCGGGGGGTGCTTCTGGTTTAGCATCATCTCCTACTTCTAGACCTCCTCTTCCTCCTCCTCTTTCATCCATACCTACCACTCCTCCTCTTCCTCCTCCACCTCCTCCTCCTCCACAGTCATCCGAGCAGCCTGTAGTTCAAACGTTGACTGAAAGCCCCTACAGAGATGCTAAAGGACTCCCGATCTTTTGGATGCACAAAGACCTTTAACATTCAGTCAGAATCAAGATGGCCGCCGCAGACAGACGAGTTCAGGAAAAAAACAAAAATGGCCACAACTCAGTCGGTTTTACAGACACTGAGCTAAAATTTGGAGTGGTAGTAAGTGAGAGTCATTTTGAGAACATGACTTCTTTCATTCAAACCTTGGCAATAATTGTAAGGGGCCACCCTGTTTGTAAGCAAAATATCTCATGAACCACTGGACAGATTTCAAAGAAATCTTCAGAAAAGTCATTTTTGGATGCACCTCTTCAACTTCTCTTTTTTGGGTCTACCACATCCAAGATGGCCACCGCTGCTAATAGACGTTAGCCTAAACACAAATAGCTATACCTCTGTGAATTTTACAAATTTTTAGCTAAACTTTGGTGTGTGGTTGCAGAAAAGTCATTCTCAACACTTATTCCAAGAACAGATCATGTAAGATAGGACAGTATTATACTTATTGTATTTTTTTTTTCTTTTCCAAAAACAACTCCATCATCTATAACATGGAATTCATTTTTTTTTTTTCAAGAAAATGAACCCATGCACGTGATCTCTGTTATGATGCCAAACAACAACTTTGAAAAGTTTTAAAGTGGGGTTAAAGTTTTATAAGATGTGAGGAAAACTAATTATTCTAATAAAAGGTTTGAATGTAATGAAAATACGTCTTTGGTGTTTATTTTTGCATCTTCTGTCAGGGTTTTTAATCAGTTACTCCGTTAATATCCTGTTTCAAGTTTTTGTCCTGCATTCTCAGCACTGAAATAAAACATGCAAAAATAAATAAATAAATAAAAATAATTGAGATGAGTAGAATTTTGACAAAGCTCAGGTAGACTTTGCTGTAGAAGCCTCCCTCAAAGTTTAAACAGGTCACAGTTGGATTTGACCAGTCTGAACAGTCCTTTTGATTCATTTGGAAGTTTTTACACAATCAAGAGTTTTGCATAAATCACTCAGGATGTTCTGTCTTCTGCCAGGAAGGACACGCCGACAGATGAGCAGCCATGGTGCTGCCTCTGCTGCTGCTGCTCCTCGTCCTCCTCGTGTCTCCTTACTCCTTCGCCTCCTCCTCACAGAACTTAAACCGCCCAGGTTTCCTCCATCATAAAGCTCTGCCGGCTGTGGATGCCGCTGGCCCGGTTCTGCAGAACCGACCCTTCACCGTAGTGTGGAACATGCCCACAGCCAACTGTCAGAAACACCACAACATCCAGCTGGACCTGGACAAGTTTAATATTGTGGAGAACAAGAAGGAGCGCTTCCAGGGAGAGGTGATGAACTGAGATGTTACCAGAGAGAGTTCATACATTCACATCTTTTCTTTCAAATCTGCTTCAGTGCTTTCACTTCTTCTGTTTTAGTCTTTAACTACTTTTTGACAAACTTTTGTTGCTTTTAACCTTTACCTCCAATTCTGTTACATTTAGCTTCTAGCTAGCCTTTTGCTATGTTAGCTTTGAGTTCTTTTTTGCTGCTTTTAGCTGGCCTTTTAATACTTTTAGCTCCTAGCGAGCCCTTTGCTACTTTAGCTTTTAAATAGCCTTGTGTTAGTTTAGCTTTTAGTTAGCATTATGGTGCTTTTAGCTGTCTTTTTTCTACTTTTAGCTTCTAGCTAGCCGCTTGTTACTTTTAGCTTCTAGATAGCTTTTAGCTACTTTAACTTTTCAATATCCTCATGTTGTTTTAGGTTGTAGTTATCATTTTGCTACTTTTGGCTAGCCATTTGCTAATGATTTTAGCTCTGGGCTAACCGTTTTGCCACTATTGGCTAACCTTTAGCTTTTTTTAACTTTAACAACTCTTTAGCAACCTCAGTAAAGTTCAGCAGTCACTTTCACAGAAAATATTTTTCTCCAGTTAAAAATAAAACCACACGTTGGTGCAGAAGCTTCAGCTAGCTAAAAAATGAATAAAGGTTGTGCATAAAGCTGCAGAGGTGGACAAACATTCTAAACAGTCAAATATAAAAACATGTTTGCAGAGAATGACCATCTTCTACCGAGACCGCCTGGGCAAATATCCTTACTTGTCTGACGATGGCAGGCAGGTGAACGGAGGACTCCCCCAGCTCGGTGACCTCTCGACTCACCTGGCCCTCACAGAGACGCAGCTGTCCGTCCTGCTGCGTCCCAGCTTCTCTGGGACGGCCGTCATCGACTGGGAGGAGTGGCAGCCGCTGTGGGAGAGCAACCTGGGGTCCAGGATGACTTATCGGAGGCTGTCCAAGCTGCTGGTGAGGCAGGACAGACCTGACTTGGAGGAGGAGGAGGTGAAGCGCTTGGCACGGCAGAAGTTTGAGGAGAGCGCTCGGAGCTTCATGGAGGAGACTCTGAGGCTGGCGGTCAAGCGTCGACCCAAAGGATTCTGGGGCTTTTATGGGTTCCCTTCTTGTTTTAATAAACACAAAAGAAAAACAGGTAGAGTTGAACAGATTGCTGCTTTGTTTTTACCTGTGATTTCATGAATAATGTATCAAATATGAAGCATTATTATTCCATAACATACAACTTTATGTCTGACACTGAAGGCTGTTTTTCTTTTGGTTTGTGTGATCAGATCAAACCTACACAGGTCACTGCCATAAGGGGACCCGGCAGATGAATGACAAGCTGTCCTGGCTCTGGACTCAGTCCACTGCTCTGTACCCCAGCATCTACCTGCCGCAGAGGCTGGCAGGCTCTGCAGATGCAGCTCTAATGGTCAGGTACAAACATGACACCCTACCACTGCCTTCATGATAAAAGCAGCACTGTTAATGTACACTCTTAACTCGTATTAGTTGACTTTACTAGAAAATCACGTGGAAACCTGTTGCCTTAAACCATTCTCGTTTTTACACAATGATGAAACTAATCAGGTTAACTTAAGAACTTCAATACAATGTAGTAAACACATTTAACATACTTTACTAATGTTGATTAGTTTAAATAAATTTCTTTGTAGTTCTAGGAAATTACTATTTTAAGCTAAACTTATTAAGCAAATAACCGTATTCACATTAGTTTAAAGGAGACCAATTATGGGTCCTAGAAATGTTTATGGTATGTCTGTGGGCTATCCAGACCATGTTCATTCAATTTAATGCACAAAATAATTCTCAGATAATAAAATTTCCCATTTTCTAGTTCTGCCTGCTCTGACTTCCGTTCAGAAGAGCTGTTTATGATAATGAGCTCTGTTGGTAACGCCCTCCAAAAATCTGTTGACATTAACTCCGCCCTCCAAAAATCTGTTGACATTAACTCCGCCCTCCAAAAATCTGTTGACATTAACTCCGCCCTCCAAAGCCAGCGTTTACGTTAGCATGGCTAATAATTGCAGATGCTCCGTTGTACAATCATATGAGAGACCCAGAGGCAGAGTCGTGGTCAGCTTATTTTTTTTCTCCCTCCTCTGCTCTGCGTTCACTCTGCATGCTGTTACCAGAGCAGGGAGCAGCAGCAGCGGTCAAAATACCTCAGAAACTCGAACAAATAGGCTTTAACAAGGCTTTAATAAGCTAAACAATAGAGGTACATAAGAAAACGTGTTCATAACGAATGAAAATAAATAATTAAATTCTGTCCGTGCTGGTCTCAAACCCTGGTCTCTCACTCTCTGGTCCAACACTCTACCCATTATTGGAGGTTTGTTGTGAAATGAGCTGCGCATTGCACAACAACAACTGTGACGGCTTTTTATACTGAGGAGGTGGAGACTCACCCGGGGTTTGCTAGGTAAGGGGCTGAACGTAGTTTCCGGTGGGTTGTCGTACGGCTTGTGAAATCACAAAATGACAGAAGTATAAAACTTGTCGTTAATATACATTAAAAATACATTTACTTACAGTAAATATGCCCCTGGGTGCATTTAACTTTTTATTCTAATGTAATTACCCTTCCGATCTTCTGAGTTATTAAATACGATCCTGGATTAGCAGACTGGTCTGAGTGGGATTACTGATTCTCTTCTTGGTATTCAGACACAGACTGCTGGAGGCTTTGCGTGTGGCATCAAATTGGCGTCATGGCAACAAAACCGTCCACGCCACACCTGTCTTTCCTTATGCCCGACTGGCGTTCACACGCTCTCTCAACTTTCTTAATCAGGTAGCAGCTCGTACACACGTTCCAGTCGCCACGACTGAAAAATATATCGATGTGCTCCATGCTCTATGACTTTAAGTGTGTGTGTGTTTTTGTGTTGATGTTTGCGCAGACAGACCTGGAGCACACACTCGGAGAGAGCGCGTCACTCGGCGCAGCCGGAGTCGTGCTGTGGGGAGAGATGAAATTTGCCAAATCCAGAGTACGTGGCAGAATTTATCGACTCGTGTTTGCTTGTTTGCTTCTGGGAGGTTTAATCTCATTTCCTTTCTGTCACATTCCAGCAACAGTGCGTCCTCCTCAAAAATTACGTCCACGGCACGCTGGGTCCGTTCGTCCGGTCGCTGAGCTCCGACACGCGGCGCTGCAGCATCCAACGTTGCCACGGCAACGGGCGCTGCGCCAGGCGACGCCCCGGCTTCGGTTTGAGGCTGTCCTCAGCTTCTGGCCGCGCCTCTGACCCTCCTGAGGCCGATGGGTCCGGCAGCGGCAGATACTTCCACCGACACTTCGTGTGTCGGTGCTTTCCAGGCTGGACCGGACCCGAGTGTCATGAGGGGAGCGGACAGAACCACAGCTAACCCACACTGCTGAAAGAGCCTTCAGTCAGCGCTCAGGGTTCAAAATCAAACAACTGATGTGTCAATATCTCTGCACTTCTTGGTAGTAATATTAAAAATAAACTTGTTAAAATCCTTTACTGTTTATGTCCCTCATTGAAAATAACAGATAGACGTTTATCTTAAATGTTGATAACTTACAAAAAGTTGAAAAATCTGTTTTAATTTGATCTAAACTGAAACATCTTCTGAAACACACTATTTACATGTTTATTTATTATACTCCTCTTTAATATAAGTTTTAAAAAATATGTAACATTTGGGTGCAATGAGTATTTTAAACAACTGAATAGATTTGTTGAATAAAAAAATAACATGACAAACCAAAATGATAACATATTAATAGCCTTTAATAATAAATATGATCTTATAGAATTTCATGGAAAATCTTGGTTTTTAGACATTTAAATGTGCTGCAGCTCCTAATGTTGATACAAGTTTGCAAAATCATGAAATAACATGAACTTTTAAATTGTGCTGACGAAAACAAAAAGGTGGTTTCTCTCTCTTTTTTTTTCTTATAGAACAGCAAACATGATCTGGAATGAAACTAAATCATTATTTGTGACTGACCAATCAGAGAAAATGTCAGTCTTCTATTTCTCTTCTGAAATTAATTTTGGTCCCGAGGAAGATGCTGAATCTCTGGGTCCTATTTATTTATTTATTTATTTATTTATTTATTTATTTATTTATTTATTTATTTATTTATTTATAGCATTGGTTTAATTTTGTTTTCTGAGTGACATTTTTTCAACTCCCTCAGTTTAACAGATATAGAGTCAAGATTTGGTTTTGTGATAAGGTGATACAGTAAAAACCACTTTTAAAAAAAGATTACCACAGACATTTGAAATAGTCACATTTAATCTATAAATGCTGACATTTAGAAACAAAAAAAAAAAAAACCATGAAATACAATTTTAAACTTTACACTTTGAAAGTGTTTCACAGCCTGCATGTGAAACACTCAGACCAGGGGTGCCCAAACTTTTTCCCTGAGAGGGCTCAAAAGAAAATCTACCCCAAGGGCTGCGGGCAAAATGCATTGATATAACAGAGGAAATGCAAATAAATACTTCTGAAGTAAAGTCTTTTTACTTTATATCATTAAGCTAGCAGCCAGTGCAGTGGGCCATATTTCATTTGTGTTTTTAGTCCATGTACCTGTACTTGCTCGGGCAGCAAAGGCTCATGGGACATTTCACAAGTTGATAAAATATGAATATTTGTAGTCTTATAAAGGTTTTACATCTACATGTATGCTTAAATTTAATGTAAATATCTTCTTTGGTTATTTGTATTTTATGTTTAATCTTAGTATAATTTAATAGTAAATTCAGCATGAAAACTGTCTGCACTATAGCCCCAAATCAAATGGCTTGGCGGGCCAATCTTGGCCCAAAGGCCCCACTTTGGGCCCCCCTGACATAGACTGTCTGATTGTGTCTGTTCAGGTCTTATTCTTCACGTCCCTCGTCTCATGGCTGTGAGGTTCTGTCTGAGCTCCTGCAGCTCTTGGACCAGCAGGGTCAGCTCTGCGGCTGCAGCCTCCTTCTCCCTCACCGCCTCAGTCAGCGTCCGGATCATTCCGCCCTGCTGGACTGGAAGAGGAACAGGCACAGACGTTCTGTTCGATCAAACTGTTCACACATTTTGATTTGTTATTTGAACGGTACAATAATGAATTATCAGCTTCACAATAAGAGCCCCTGGAGCAGCAAAACACGGGAAGAAAAAGCTTCCATCACCTAAGAAGTAGAAGATGAGCAGCACTGTGAGCAGCAGCAGGGTGATGACAGCACAGCTCATGGCATAAGCTCGGGACGAGCTCGGCGTCAACATTTCCTGCAGACGGCTCTGCCATTTGCTGCCGAGTGGGTGGTCTCTGTGGCTGACAGCCATCCCCTCAGGTGTGTACAGGTTCCCATTTAAGGATGGTGGGTTCGCAGGGCGAGGAGGCCTCATCCCTGGAAGCAGAATCTGGATTATTTCTTGTGGCTGTGTTAAAACTGGGTCACTTTGTGGTTATATTTGTGTGTGTGTGTGTGTGTGTGTCTTGTGCGTACCTTTGTGGCTGTGTTCAGGGTGTGTTCGGTGCAGGTCATTGATGGAGTCGACAGAATGCAGCTCAATCTCGGTGAGATCTCGTTCGCTGACCCTGTAAAACTGAGGAGTGGTCTGAGAGGAAGGAGGCCTGGACATCTCTATCTGTTAGAGTAAACAACAACTTTTTAAATGTAAAATTTTCCTATCCTAATTTGTTTAAGGAGTGCATATTACAAAATGTATTAGTGCTCAAAGAATATGATGAGGATGACTCAACTACAACCATTTCATATTTTAGCTTAATATCTGTAAAACTGGCTGAGTTATAAACATTTTGTTTGTGTTTGTCATGGTCTCACAGCTGTGGCAATCATCTTAAATGGAGCTGTCTCCAAAAGTTAGTCAGTAGATGTACATCCAGTGGTTACTGAGCAAAAGTTTAATTGAAATACAAACAAATATGCACACCCACAAAGCATTTCTGCCTTTTTGTCTTTGGTGGTGGATGCAGACAATAATAATGTGCAAACCTTTCAAAATAAGAAAATGTAAAAAAAAATTTTTTTTGAAAAAAATTTCTGGACATTTATGTAAACAATAATGTGGTCTTATTTACCAGTCAAGGCTAATTGAAGGCACTCCAGAAACAAATAAAAGGCCTCATATTGAAGCTATTTTCCTACCTTATTATTTTATCACCTACTCGTTTTAACAAGCAATATGATTCTAAAAAACACAAATGGTAAAAGTGTGTTAATCTGTTTAATTGTCATCAAAATGACGCCTGTTTAAATTAAATCAATAAAGTAAAAGTTAATAAGTAGAGTATCGATAATGATGATAAAATCTAAAAATGTTAGACACAATAGGAATTATCTGGAAAGAACACAGCTCAGACCTATTATTAGAAGGAGTTATCAAACCAATAAAGAAGCAATGCTGCTGGAGTTTGACTCAAAGGCCAAAGAACAGAAGACACTCTGCATTAATGAATTACTGTAATAGATTATTTATTCTGCGACTCTTCTTGTCTGCCTACTTTATAACCTGTACGAGACTCAAAATACAAAAAAATAAAAAAATACCAGAGCAGAGTTATTTTTTCTGTGGTTCAGCTCACCTTATTTCCTTGTAAAGAAGAAAATCTGTTTCTTTGTTTTCAGCCAGTCCTCTTGTTTGCTTCTCACAATGAAACCTGTCTCAACACGTGTCCAAACCAACAAAAGCAGCAAGAAAGTTGGTACAAACCATATTTTCCAGAAGCCCCATTAAAACAACAAACAAATGAAAAAAATATATAAGTTTAGCGTTAGGGTCCCACTCTTTGTGAGAGCAACTATAGAAGCCCCCCCAAAGCCAGGTGGTCTCAGCTGACTATGTTTGTGTCCAGATATTCTGTTTGAAACCACCGCAGCTGCCCTGCAGGAGAGAGTGGGAGAACCAGACATAGGCTGACAGAGACGTTTTCCTGTCTCGTTACCCCCTTCCAAACATGCACATGCCCAGTTTCACAGGCCCTCTAGGTCCAAAATAGCACCAGAGACATGGGACTATTATTAGCTGTTCAGGCCAAAGGATGACTCATTGACCTGGGAGGAAGACATGATGGGAGACCTACAGATAAATATGCAATACATTAGCAAACACAGCCAGGTGGGCAAATTTCTCTGAACATAAACTCATCTGATGTTTCAGAACGATAAGTGCTTTTAAAACTATAGAATAGAAAACTTTTAGTGTGAGCTTAAATAAAAGGCTAATAATAAAGTGGCCTATAAACTACAAGGATTGTTTATATTTCCACAGCAAAACAAACAAACAAAAAAAGATTATCTTCAGACCCTGTTTTTGTATGAAAATAGATTTTTCAAGAAGCTATGCATGTCCAAATGTTTTTGATTCTGTGCATTAGATGTAAATGTATGCATGTTTTAGTATCTTGTGGTTTTGCACATAATTATTTCATTTCATTTTATTTGATCAAGGACAGCACAATATACAATGTATCATATTCATGTTTTTACATGTCCTTGTTGACCCATCTGAAAATGGTTTGCAGTCACGTGTTTCTCTTTTATTGTTTGAGAAAATTGTGAGTTTGCTTCTTATTTATTCATCACAGCCCATATGTCAGTAGAGCCTGCTTAGGTTATTTTATTTTGTTAACTTTCTTTACTGACAACTTCCGGTGTCAAAAAAGCACAAGTCGTGAAGTGTGCTTGTCAGTCATTGTTTTATTATTTTTTATTATTTAAAACATGAAAATAAATTGAAACTATTTTTGAATTAAAAGAGAAAAACATTTTTGATAACATATTAGACATACCCCCCTGTTTTTTTTTAATTATTATCAAAACATACAAGGTACGGACACGGCACATTTATGCCGTCTTATTTTATTTTGACACCGGAAGTTGTCACCAAGGTGGTTTGGTTTTTTTTTATTATTTTTTTCTTTATCCTTTTAGTCTTTTTCTTTATATCTGTTTGGTCTGTATCTCATTGAGCAAAATCCATTCAAAACGTATTAAACAAGAAAATAAAAACTTTTCTTGTCGGAGGAAGTTGGGGTAATTAGTGGCTAGTTAAAAGGCTAGACTCAACTACGTTTCCCAGAAGCCTTTGCGTCTCCCTTTATCTATCCATTAAACTGCCTGCTGCGCCTCATTTGTTTTTACCAGGAGGAATCCAGGGTTGGGAAAACGCTGCGGAAGTGCTAACCGGTCGGGACTGTGGAGCGGCTGTGGGCACAGACGTCAGCGGGAACTCCGGTGCCATGATGTGGGCTCGGCTGATGGTTGGAGTCGAGGGTTCGGGGTTCGGGTTGAGGGCATCCAGAACCGGTTTGCAGCGGGTGTCCGGAGCTGGATGTGCGGGAAGGAGGCAGCAACAGAGACAGGCGTCCAGTACAGAGGTATGAGAAGTACACATTTTTATGTCCCTGCAAAATGCAAGAAGTAGCTAAATAACTTTTTTTTTCTTTTTTTTTTTTGGGAGGGGGCGGGCATTGTGTTTTATGCCAAATTGAATGCTGGTCCAGTTGTGTAGATGTAGTTTTTGAGCCCAAAATATCCTCACATCAGCATATAAAACATACCAAATTTACATTTTAAAAAAAATCGCATTCATAAAAAGTGTTTATATATGCAACATGCATGGTTGAACTTCTTTACAGCAAACCTCAAAATGAATGGGACATTTCGGTAAAAACAAAGTGTTGTTTTGCAGCAGCTAACAGCTCATGCAGAGATAATATCCCAGCAGACTGTTCCTCTCCCTGGCTCTGCCTGCTCCACTGAGCTGCACAGAATGTTTTTCTTATATAAACCATGACTGTCTGACCCTCCCGTGTTGTCACAGTGGACTGCTGCCAAAGTGCTGATAAGCCCCCCTGACACCAGCTGGTTCAAAGGTCATAAGTTAGCAGAAGTCACAGAAAGCAAACTGAGACAAAGAGAGAACTTTCTCCAGAGCTGTGTATTCATCAGAACTGTTTTTCTTCATTTTTGTCACAAATTTCTGCATTGTTAATGGTAATACGGCGACTCTGAGCACATTGTTGGATTTTATTCTCTTGCAAATTGACTCTCCTTTAATAGAACAAGATTCGCTTTCAGGAAAACCACCTGACCCAGTTTTCAGAAACACCTGTGCCAGCGTTAGGAAAAAACAAATCAAACTTCAACATTGAATTTCTGTGAACACTCAGTTGAGTGCCTTCTTCCTCCAGGATGTTTTGAGGAAGACTCCGCTCTTTGATTTCCACAAGAAGCACGGTGGGAAGATGGTAGAGTTTGCTGGTTGGAGTATGCCGGTCCAGTACAAAGACAGCCACATCGCCTCACACATGCACACCAGAGAGCACTGCTCCATCTTTGACGTGAGCCACATGCTGCAGGTGAAGCAGAAGCAACGATGCAAAGATTTTGGACCCAACACACGACCCAAGCCAGCATGTTTACCTTTGTCTCGCGTATTTGTTTCCGTTATTGTGTGTTTCTCTGTCAGACCAAAGTTCATGGCAAAGACCGAGTGAAGTTCATGGAGTCGCTGGTTGTTGCAGATATCGAGGAGCTAAAAGACAACCAGGTACTTTCTAATATATTTTATTTTTGTACATATTACGACATGTGTCTCATTACGCATTTTTTGTGCTTTTTCAACAATTTATATATCGAAATGTTCAGCTCCTTCAGGACATTCCAGCTATAACTTTTTGGTACTTCAGTAATTTATACTTTTTAAATATTTAACTTTTTCTGCCATTTGTTCTTATTGAAAATGAATGGAGCTGTCCTCAACGTTATTAAAACCCCCTTTAAAATGTTTAAAATTTTTATAGTACCGTACTTTGACTTTTTATTTTCAAATTTGTGCTAATTTCAGCTACTAATCTGCTCCTTTCTACTATTCTTCTGCTAATTTCTTTTTTGTGCTTCTTTCAGCAGCTTTCTGCTAACTTCAGCTGTTTTTTGCTGCTTCAGCTATTGTTTAGCTATTTTAGCTAATTGCAGCTTTTTTAGCTAAATTAATTGTTTTGATAATTTCAGCTTATTGTTGCTTAATTCAGCAGACTTGCTTTTTCTGCTTCTTTGTGCCAATTGCAACTTTTTTGATACATTTTAGCTATTCTTCTGCTGATTTCAGCTGCTTTAGCTATTTAATAACAAATTGCAACTCTTTTTGGTTAACACATTTTTGCAATTTTTTTCTACTGAATTTGCACTTTTCCCCCCTACTTTCAGCAAATTCAAATTTAACTCACATGAACAGTTTTACTATTAAACATTGTCAGCTTCTTCATTGTTTTTCAGTATGAAGCATTCACACTGCTTTTTTTAACAGTTCTCTAGTTAATATACAGCGAGTAAAATAAGTATTGAACACGTCACCATTTTTCTCAGTAAATATATTACTAGAGGTGCTAATGACATG